GGCTGTTCCTTTGAGGCGTGGCTGTAAGGACAGGAGCTAGAAGTTTCGCCACAGGGAGGTAGGTAGGTAGGGGAGACTCCGACGCCCAGGCCTGGCTGCCAGTTCTGCATTGCCAATTTCCTCGGCTGGAGGACACTGAGCTGCTGGTCTCGGGCCGCTCCGTCCCTGGTTCAGGACATCTGTCGACACGGCCGCCGTGACCACACTAGGAAAATTAACAGAGGCCGTTTATGGCATCCGACTCCAGCCCACACACAAACATCCAGGAACGTTGCAGCAGGTTCATGCTGACTTGCATTTTTTTTTTTTTGAGTCAGAGTCTCACTCTGTCGCCCAGGCTGGAGAGCAATGGCACCATCACGGCCACCACAGCTTCGGCCTGCTGGGCTCTGGCAATCCTTCCACCTCAGCATCCCAAGTAGCTGGAACCACAGGCGCATGCCGCCACGCCTGGCTAATTTTTTGATTTATTGTAGAGGCGAGGTCTTGCCACGTTGCCCAGACTGGTCTTGAACCTGTGGCCTCAGGCAATCCTCTTACCTCTTGGCCTCCCAAAGTGCTGGGATTATAGGCGTGAGTCACCGTGCCTGAACTGACTTGTATTTTTAGGGGAAATATTTCTCAGTTGTGGGGGATGACAGATGGCGCCTGGCGTCCAGAAGTAACCTGTACCCCCTGCCCTGAAACCTGCAGGCCACCTGCACAGTGACACTCTGGCCTCATGATGTTACCCGGTGCCTGCCGACTTGCACCCAGGGGTCTCGGTGTCTACGGAGTCTCACCTGACTCAGTAACCCCCACCAGGGGCTCGGCGTGGAGATGTCCCAATCTTGGTGCTTCTTTCACGTCTGCCAACTGCCATCACCGGACAGAGGGCAACTTCCCCTTCTGGGGGGCCGTGGGGCGCCCCCCAAACCAAATTCCCATGGGAGGAGAAACACTTAATCCTGCCACTAATGAATAACTGGAGAGAAAGATGATGAAAGAGTCATCTCCAGGGGTGATAAATGAACATTTTCTACCTTCCTCTGTTTTTGAGAATAAACACAAATGCCTGGGTTTCAATTAACCACTCATTTTTTTTGTTTTGTTTTTTGAGTCAGAGTCTTCCTCTGTTGCCCAGGCTGGAGGGCAGGGGCACGCTCATGGCCACTGTAGCCTCGATCTGCTGGGCTCAGGCGATCCTTCCACCTCAGCCTTCCAAGTAACTGGAACAACAGGCACAAGCCACCATACCCAGCTAATTGTTTTGAATTTTTTTATGGTAGAGATGAGGTCTCGCCAAGTTGTCCAGGCTGGTCTCAAACCTCTGGGCTCAGCAATCCTCTCACCTTGGCCTCCTAAAGTGGTAGGATGACAGGCGTGGACCCGGCCAATCACTCTTCAATGTTCAAATGGTTCCGGACTTGGCCTGCAGGGCTCCTGAAGTTATTTCAAAATCTAGATTGGGAAGTTGCTACACACACACACACACACACACACACACACACACACACACACACACACGTACGTACACATGTGTGCGCACACAGGTCCCACACTCTCCACCCGGTCCCAATGGTCACACCTCAGGTGACCAGAGAACAAGGTGGACACAGGAGCCTGGCGTTGGTATGGGGCACGGGGTTCTACGTTACCACGCATGCAGGTTTGCGTGGTCACCACCGCAGTGAGGACGCAGAAGTGTCCCCTCCACAAAGCCCAGTTCCTGTGGCTCCATGCAGTCACCCCCACAGCCCCCTGTGTTCTCTATCCCTACAACTTGGAGTTTGAGAATGTTCTCCACATGTGGCCGGGTGCAGTGGCTCTCACCTAGAATCTCAGCACTTTGGAAGGCTGAGGCAAGAGGATTGCCCGAGCCCTCAAGTTTGACGCTAGCTTAAGCAACTTGGCAAGACCTTGTCTCTACAAGAAATAAAAAAATAAATGGGCCGTGGTGGTGCATGTCTGTAATTCTAGCTACTTGGGAGGCTGAGGCAGAAGGATCACCTGAGCCCAGCAAGTCGAGGCTGCAGTAGCCGTGATGGTGCCACTGCGCTCTGGTGTGGGCAACAGAGTGAGACCCTGACTCAAAAAACCCAACAACAAAAGAATATTCTCCAGATGGTCATACAGCACGAGACCTCTGAGGGTGGCTTTTCCACTCAGCAGAATGCCCGTGACATCCCCAGTGGCTGTGTGTCACTAGTCTGTCCTGTGCCCTTCTCACTGCTTGGTCTTCAAAGCATCCCTTTTTGGGCACAAGACCCAGGCTCTCCTGCAGCTGCAGACCTGGGGCTGGCCACTCCCCAGGGCATGGTGGCTTCTAGAGCCCAGATCTGGGCGGGTACTCACTGCGGCCAGGGTCGCTTCACTTCCCCAGCTCCCGTCCACACTGCCAGGAAACAATCTCTTCTTTAAATCACGGGTTCAGCCAGGTGCGGTGGCTCATGCCTGTAAACCCAGGACTTTGGGAGGCCGAAGCTAGAGGATTACCTGAGCTCAGGGGTTCAAGACCAGCCTGAGCAACATGGCGAGACCTCGTCTGTACAATAAATTTAAAAAATTAGCCGGGCATGGTGGTGCGTGCCTGTGGTTCCAGCTACTTGGAAGGCTGAGGTGGAAGGATTGCCTGATCCCA